TCTATTAATGCACAGAACTGTTGTGTTTTCACTACATAAAAGAATGGAGAAAAAGCTCCACCACCACGTGAGTTCACATGTCCTCTTGGATGGATGTGGGAAGATGATGCTTGGAAATCCGATTTAAATCGAGCAGTGGATGAAAACGGTAAGATTTATGGTTTATCAGATGGTTATTAGGACGATCTGTCATAGTCTGTACTGAAGGAGCACACGTGAAGACTGTAGTAATGTCCCAACCACAGTGGTAGCCCTATGGAAAAATGTCAAGGAAATATTTGGATAACAGTTGCTTAAGGAATCAGATAAGATGACATTGAGAAAGTGTTCACTGTCTGCATCTGTTTCTATTTCCATTTTAATCACTGTTCCATCAAACTCACTGTTCTCATTGAGCCTTTTCTGGATCAAAAAGAGCCAGTATTTTGAACAGTATATGTAATAAATGCATTTGTAAGTGCTTACTAGAGAGAGAATTAATTTAAAAAAAATGAAGGCTAATACAAACAACAATTTACTAACATGAGACACTCCAGTTGGGAAAAATATGTATAAACAATGTGATTGGAAATAGAATGCATCCCCGTTTCCAAAACGTTTTTCCCCAAGTCCAGTGTTAATGCAGCCCGATGGTTAGGATTAGGCCTGTAAGATACGGATTAGTAGCAGTAACTGGGGCTTTTTTAGAGAGGTCAGAAGCTTAAGTTGAGACATGAAGGCTCTATAATTCCACCAAGAATATGTGGCAAAGCCAGGTTTGGCTCTACCTGGTAATTTAACTGGGAGCCTTTAGCCAAGTGACAAGTCACCAAGCAATGCCAAGAAGTGAATCAGGAGGTCTGGGGACCAAAGGAAGTCAGGAACCTGTTTGTGTTGGTCACACACCACACAAGCGTGAGAAGGATTCCTATATTGTTGGGAGCAGAATAACTGCACTGAATTTGTGCGGGGAGGGAGCCATGCAAGACTGATCGTGATGAAATCTTAACAGTATACAACTGATTGTTACGCAATTCTGAAATGAAAAGACTCCAAAGTCTTTCTGTGAAGAATCTGATGCTGCTAGACTGAGTTTTCAGATTAAATGTAGTACTGGCCTGATCAAGTTAGTACTAAGCGCATAGAACCGCCATTTTTCCTAGGGTTGCTTTGACTTTTATATGCTTCTTACTTACACTAAATTAGAACTGTTACCAGCTTAGAAAGTTGTGATATAAACAACCTCATGAGACCATGATTTGGATTCTACAGCAACAGAAAAGCAGTCAAGTGCTTATAGCAAAGTATTTACAGGACATTGATTTGATGGTTCAAAACCAAAATGGATAATAAAAGCAGAAGGGTAGACTGTAGAATATTATGGAAAGCCCAGAATTTTGCAAAACTATCATGAATTTTAATTTGTTCTAAAACAGCTGAAAACTCTCAGATAGTTATTGCTTTTAAATATAAGTGAAATAAATAGCTATTTGAGTAGAAAAAAAAAGATTTTATTAAAGAGTACTGATACCTGTCTTAACTGGAACCTCTGGTAGGATTCTGCAGTACCTTTTTAATAAGAGATCAATCTAAATAAAAGTCTGCGTCCTAGATACTGACAACTGAATTATAATATGAAGAGCCAAAATACAGCAACAGGTTTACCAATTCTCAAAGTTTTATGATCAGAGTTCAGATAGCTGGTGTCCTTTAAAAGGCAAGCTGCTAGAGTTGCAAGAGTACACAGGATGTTCTACTCTTATTTAAAATCAAGGATGAGTTTTCCCTGTGGTGAAGTATTAAAATGTGGTATCAATACACCTCACACTTGGAAAAACAAGAATGCAATGAAAACAACTTAAAATGTATTGTATATATTTTAATGTTGAGATTTTTATTGTCATACATATTATAGTATTGCCATAAAATGTCATCAGTTGCCCCCTAGCTACCGGGAATTTAGGGTTGGCAACATCAAATACTCTTGTGTGACTAAAGCTTCATCCTCTGTTTCCCATGCTTTTCTTCCTTGTATCTGGCTTGCATATTCTGGACATATACCAACTAATCAATTCTGTTTTAGGATGGGAATATGGCATTACTATTCCTCCAGACACTAAACCAAAGTCATGGGTTGCTGCAGAGAAAATGTACCATACACATCGACGACGAAGACTGGTGCGGAAACGTAAGAGGGATCCAGCTCAAGCAGTAGCAGCAGGAAGGGTATGCAGAAAAGACATGCAGTCAGAGACTTGCACATTGCAACAGTTTGAGTTTCTTTTTAAAAAAAAAAAAAAATTCTGCATGAGATTATTCATTTTGTAAATAAAGAAAAAAAATTACTACCAAACAAAAAAATCTAGAACAACCTTGTATGTTTTCATCATATTCCTTTTCTTTGTCTTTTTGTAAACTGATGTTTCCAGCTTTGGTTTATGAGGGGATTATTATGCTTGCCAGAGCAAGTGCAAATTTTTTTCATTAGCATCATACAACACTGTGGATAACAAGGATTTATGTCTTCCAGGGAATGTCATCATATGAAGACCAAGAAGGATGGGAATACGCTTCCCTGATTGGCTGGAAATTTCACTGGAAACAACGCAGTTCTGATACTTTCCGTCGAAGACGGTGGAGACGAAAAATGGCTCCCTCAGAGACACATGGTGCAGCAGCTATCTTTAAACTTGAAGGTGCTTTGGTAAGGGATGGAGTATCAAAAAAATCTTTTAAAGTTCCATCTGTTAATTTGCAGTAAATAAACAATTAAGTTGTATGTTAGCTATTTTAGTCCCTGAATTGTTAGACTGATATATAACTGAGGAACTAATACAGTTTGTTTAAATTGGTCTGAAAGGGACCATTAAAGTCAAAGTTGAGACTCTTCCATAACATGCTTATTACTTTATTTTTCAAGTTATTTTTATTATTACATTATGTGAGATTTAGAGCAAAAGGCCAAATTAGTATATGAGACTTCTGTAAGTAAAGTGAAGATAGCTCAAGCTTTTCATGCGCATAACTTAGGTGTATTAACATCAGTACAAGAAACAACAGGCACTAAAATAGCTGCCCGTGATTAATATTTCTATTTATAAACAACCAAACACAAGAAAAGATAGCAAAGTATTGGAGAAGCCAGAATGTGATATGTCACCAAGAGATCATCAGAATGTAATTATTCCTTAGGTTTCCAGGTTAACACAGCTTCACAGATAAGCTCTATTTACCAAAATACAAGTTGGAGCAAATAATGTGAGAAGGCTACTTTGTTTTTCTAAAATAATGATTCTGAGTCTGACTGTATAGCATTAACGAAAGTTTGCGCTTTTTTTCTTGGTTTGTTTCTCGTTTTTTGCACCACATGACAACCCAAGATTCATTGATAGTATTTTCTTTCTCCACTTAATTTGGTTCCTCAGAGTTTAAAAATTCCTGTTCCAGTTTCTCTTCTGACTATACTTCCTGGGCTATTGCTAGGATAAAGCCTTAGAGAAGTTCTCTGCAAGAGCACAGTGCAGAAGACCTGCAACCCCTCCTTCAGTAAGAGCTGACAGGTAGCTAGTGTATCTCCGCAAATAAGACTTTCTGGAAAGTAAGATGAAATGACTGGATCTGATTTCTGCACAGCTTCAACAGCAACAAGAAATGACCTTTGGTCACAAGTAAAGGTCTTTTAAAGAACGTTTACTCGCGGAAGTAAACTGCTGCTTGTCCTGGAAAAAAGACTGAAGCCCATAAGTTCCCACACACAGTCCACTTTTATGGGGTTCCTTCTAAGTTTGTAAATACACAGTAACTTTTTTTCTATGTATAACTTAAGGGAGCAGACACTAGTGTTGATGACGGAGACGGGAAGAGTTCAGACAAAACCAAGGAGTCAGCTACAAAGGTGTTTGGTGCCAATACACCACTTGTTTCCTGCTACTTTGACAGTAGGTTCTTTAACAATTTCTTTCTTATAAATCATGTCTGTTTCTCCCTGGCCTCAAACAGAATTGTAGTTCTTTGTTTTACCTCTAGGTTTACATAGCTTCTCTTATAATTACTTTCTGATCCTTGATTGGGCCCTATTTAGGCTACTTAGGCCCAAAGTTAGACATTTCAACATTTCAGCCCACTGTCACACAGACTTTTTTAAAACCTGTATGGGACAGGAATTCTAAAGCTGACTATTGCACCACCTGAATTTTAGGCTGTCTTAAATGATGCATTTTTAGCATTAGGATCCCTTCATAACAATGCAGGGAGCTAAGGCAGCAGAGATGTATGTACACGTAATTTTTTGCTGGTTTAGCTCTTAACCAGCTCAGTGCAGGGTCGGACAAATACCTGACCCAGAGGAAGCAGTAAGACCATGTAGTTGAGTTGTCTAAGTGAAAAAAACTGTAACTTTGCCAACCTGGATTGGCTTTAAATGCCTTGGAATTGCTGTAATGGGACTTACAAAAGCAGGGACACTGAGGTGGGAGACACCAGAGTTAGTTAGTAGGAATAGAGGCAAATCCCATCCACTCCTAAGACTCAAAATCCTTTTTGATGATCTCTGACTGGAACACTTGTCTTTATTTGGACTCCACAGAACTTGATCTCCCTGCTAGGAATGGGTGCCTAAATCTTAAATCTTGTCTGTCAGAAGCTGAGGAAGATTATTGCAGTTTTGTTTTAAAAATTACTACAACAGGAGGAAAATGGCACCTTTTCCTGCCAGAGTTCAGAGGTTTTGTCTCATTGAGGCTATGAGTGGCTCAGATTTTTCCAAGGGCTGAAAGGGTCAGAGCTGACATCTTTTATAGAAAAGCTGTAGTAACTTAGCCACATGCTGTCCTGGGTTTGGGCTGCTCTCAAATCTTCCTGCTAGACTATTCCACCTTGCCTGCAATGATTATTCTTTTTTTTTAATCTTTTAGTGAAAGAGTCAGAGTGGCAGTTGGATTAATTCCCTAGTGCTAATAGCTAAAAATGTGAAACTCCCAGGTCCCTACAAGTGCTGTAGTGAATACTTAAATTAAGCACGGGAATGCCCGGTTCTTGATTCCTTTCGGAGGTGCTAGATTATCACACCATTTCAAACGAATTTTTGAATAGAAGGATTTTTAGACGATCATATGGTAAAAAAAGCCAAATAGCATTAGCGGGTTTTTTTAATTTCTCCTTGAAGTTGTGTTGGAACAAATGTTCTCAGGTACTTGCTTCTTGGTATTAGTACACTTTTCACTAGAAAAGAAAAGCAGAAATGTTACTACAGTGCTTGTGCTTGAATTAAAATGTGTAAGGCATTTTTATAAACTCAAAGTATTTGAATTACAGAAAAGAAGCCTGTATAATGCAGTTGAACTCTTTTTATTTATTTAATACAGGAGTATATACTTACCACCTTCGCTGTTACGTCTACCAGGCAAGAAATCTCATGGCTTTAGACAAAGACAGTTTTTCAGGTATGGAAAAATCTTGCAGAAAACCCACTTCTACAGTGAACTAGTAACTACATTTAGCTATAGAATATCTTAAATCCTTAAGGTCTATGTGTAGATCCCACCTACTGAAACTATGTTGTAAAGGAAGTCTCAGCTTCATTACATATGATCCAGATTTGGTTAGTACTGCCCCAGAAGCTGCCAAAAAAAGGAGTGCTCTGAATGTGCAGCACCTGCTGCTGCGAACAAATTCTCAGTGAGGGAATGGGAATGCAAATAAGGCCTGAATTCATCATGACCAATCCCTTCCCTGTGCCTTAGCTTCTCCTTCTAACCGAAGCCTACATACAGTTCCTAAGCTGTCCTTCAGGAAGCTTGCACAAAAGCAAGGATGAAGAAAGCTGGATGGCTGTTATGTCACCAACAGCCCCTCAGTGTTCAGTATTTTATATTAATGCAGTACTGAGATAAACTTGTAGAAAACTACACTGTGCAATAATAAGTGTGGCTTTTGTTTGTTTATACAACTGTACCCATTGCCCTTCTATTTCCAGCTCTTAGGTAATCCAACAGTGTTGTATCCATTTGGCATCTTCATAGTCAGGCTAATTCAACACTCAGGTTATTAAGTATTTAAATTTTGCTAATTAGAATTCAAATTCCACAGAGAAGTCAGAGAGGAAACTGAAATTAGAATTTGTAAGAATATGACTGTACACTTCCTTTAAATAAGTTCAGCCAAAGATAAAGATTAAATTGACAGCTTAGAATTTTCTTTCCTCATCAACCTCCATTTGCGTCCTTCTTTTTCTCCCTGTTTTAATTAATAATTTATTAAGTGTAATGCATTTGCTAATTTGTTATGGACGATATAGAGCTACAGATATTCTAGTGGTGTTTTCTGAAATGAAAGGGTTTTTGTACAGCTGCCTGTGTGTGTTTGATCTTACTTCAATATGCAGCACTTAAAAGCAATCTAAGAAACAATAATAAATGCCTCTAATTTGCATATGTAGCATTTTCAAGATAGGGACCTCAGATGCAGTCACACATAAACTAGCACATCTACATTTTATTTTCCTCTAAAATTAGTTTGAAGAGTAAGCCAAATTTTTTAAAACTCTGATCAGGTACCTAGCCAGAAGCTGTTGAAACTGACCTAAAGATAACCTTTAAAATAGTCTCTAGTCCTTAGTAATTGCAATTTGTACAGGAAATGTTAATGAGCATCCTCGGATACCTTCTACAGAGCTCTTGATGATTTAAAGACCTGCCAAACACTGGGCCTAGACCACTTAAATCATTCAGCTGTTTCATAAGAAGAGGTTGCTCTAAATAAGCATGTTTGAAACTAAAGCTTGATCTGAGCAATATAGCCTGGGAGAATTTGTTGTTTGACAACTAGTCAGAACTAGAATTATTTCTTTGTATTATTTATGAGGCTATGCAGTTGTACATCAATGGAGAGAGCAACAAAAAAGGCTTCTACAGACAGTATTTAAGGGGAGATTAGTATAGCCAGTGTTGCATTTTAGTTTTCAGGTTCTCTTTCTGATTTGCAAGATGTTTTATCGTTTTCATTTATTACTGTGTTAATCAAGACTTGTATAATGGAAGCTATTTTGTAATCAAATGGAATTTGACCTATTAAGTGTAAATTATGTCTATGTGTGGGGTTTTGTTTCATACAGAATAGCTTATATAACTGGTAACAACAGAAGAAAAATAACATACTACATTTGATAAAAATTGTGCTTGTGTGCCTTATGGCTCAGTGGGGTTTTGTTTGTCTGTAACCCAATGCTTTTAATCTTTGTGTGATGTTTCAGATCCATATGCTCATGTTTCTTTCCTCCACCGAAGCAAAACTACTGAGATCATTCATTCAACTCTCAATCCTACGTGGGACCAAACTCTCATATTTAATGAAATTGAGATCTATGGGGACCCACAGACAGTAGCCCAAAACCCACCTAATGTGGTTATTGAACTTTTTGACAGTGACCAAGTGGTAGGTGAATGCTTTTTACCCTGATTGCTTTTTAATTTATTTATATTAATTGAGACGATCATTAATGCTTATGATTACTATTTTTGGTTGCAGGGTAAAGATGAATTCCTTGGAAGAAGTGTTTGTTCCCCCATGGTCAAGTTAAGCCCAGAAGAGGACATCACACCAAAACTGCTTTGGTATCCTGTAATAAACAATGGCAAAGCTAGTGGAGACATTCTTTTCACTGCAGAACTTATTTTGAGGGACAAGGTATACATTTCTTATATACATTTTTTGTGTGTATATATATATATCATACTATATTATATATTTTTACATTGAGTTGCAATGTGAAGAATTGTCTTAATATTTGCAAGGTATTTAGTCTAAGGAAGATGAGAGGAACTAATACTCATGTTTGTGTCTTAATAGGGTGGTGCCAACCTTCCAATTCTTCCATCACAAAGAGCACCACAGCTTTACATGGTACCTCAAGGAATCAGACCAGTAGTTCAACTCACTGCTGTTGAGGTATGGTTTACTCTTTAACAGAATACAAGTACAGTCATCTCATCCTCTAGATAGTAAATCTGTGTGTTTGCTTCAAGAAAAAAAAAAATCGTAGTAAGAAATATGGGACATTTTTTCTTCAAGTGTTTTTGAGTTTCATTTCTCCCATTAACTTTCTGAAAACAAGCTTGAAATATTTTGCCAGTCAGATTTTGTTATTGAAAATTCTTCCTTTCTTTTCTACTTTTTGAGTATCATATTAAGCATATTGATATCCTTCCCACTTTTGCTTATATTGGATTTTATTTTACAGATTCTGGCTTGGGGATTGCGGAACATGAAGAACTACCAACTGGCACCTGTTATGTCTCCAAGTCTCATTGTGGAATGTGGGGGTGAAATGGTGGAATCTGTGGTGATCAAAAACCTCAAAAAGACACCAAATTTTCCATCTTCTGTTCTCTTCATGAAAGTTGTACGTTGCAGAAAGCTATATACCAGTTATCTATAGCAGAATCAGTTATCCCATACTCTCAAAGGTCAAGGATTTGTTATGCTCAAATGAACAGAAAAACTTGCACATCCTTTTTTGACTTAACAGAAGCCATTTATTGAACCTCAAAATTCTAATAAAGATTATGTAACCATGTCTGTACAGTCATTGATAAATTAAACAATTTTATATGCACAATCCAGTGCAGTATACATGTATTTGTTTGAAAAGGCATCAATTTACCTGTGTGGCTACTTTCCTACAGCTAGGATGGGAGCTGTGCAAGAGTCAAGAAAATTCAAGATTTGAGGCAATTAAATTTATTCTTACTGATTTTATTGAATCATAATATAAGGTTGGAAATTTTCATTCACCATACAGCCATAGAACATAGCAGTTCAATATTAAATAAATGAAGTAACAGCTCTAATTTAGGGGGGAAATCTTTATTCTTCATTTTTCTTCTGTTTGCATTATAAACAAACTCTAACCTTTCATTTTTAGCTTTTGCCAAAAGAGGAGTTATACAGTCCATCTCTTGTTATTAAAGTAATAGACCACAGACCATTTGGACGGAAGCCCATTGTGGGACAGTGTACTATTGATTTACTGGAAACCTTTCGCTGTGACCCCTACACTACGAAAGAAGACATTGCGCCACAACTGAAAGGTAGACAGCTGAAAATGAAAAGTTCTAATTTCTTATGAGATGTTAGAATAACCTATCTTCAGTGTTTATTCTGCGTACTGTAGCGAGGAATGGCCGTCTCGTGTTGTATACTTATTTGGAGATAATGAGATCTGAAAGAAAAAAAAAATCTAACTCAGGGTATTCATTAGTGCAATATTCTGTGGAGCATAGGAGGACAGTATGCAAAAGCAAGTCCACTCTCAGACTTAGCATGCTGGTTCCCTGAAGTTCCTCTTCAGTATCAACTTGGAATTTAACTACCTGCAGATTACCCCTGCACTAAGTACCAAAGTAATGATCCAGTATTCCAGCAAGAATGCTCTGAATACAATGCTGACATTTTCCTCTATGCTTTTTTCAAGTTTCACTCTTCTTTTAATTCTATATATTTGAGAAATATTTGCATTTCCTGCACAAAAATAAATTGTTTGTTTTTAGCAAACAATGGCAACTAATTGTTTGCTTTAGAGGATCAAACATACAGCAAATGAATTATTTTACATATTCTGTAACTGTTTGGATTTCAAATCTGATGAAAATGTTTAGTAAGCTATATTTCCTACACTATATTGCCTTAATAAAATCTTTGGCTTACAGTTAGTCTACTCTCTGCTGCACCTCGCCAGGACACGGTAATTGAAATGGAAGACACACAGCCACTGCTAGCTGCTCAGGTAATCTTTGAAATTTGGTGCTTGACTTTCTTCTTCAGATCTGTGATTTCTGAGAAACAACTTAGACAGCAAAATTGTCAGAAACATATGCAACCTTCTGGAAAGCCAGATGAAACAAAGTTACTTTGTGACAGGAAAGCAAAGGAAAAATGTTGATCATTTTAACCTCTGAGTAAACATCAATCTATAGCTTTTTGTGCATGGTAAAGTTTACCCAGCAGCCTAAGAATGAATTCAGTTGTTTAATAGCTAGCGAAAGCACATGATAGAACATTACCCAGTTCTCTACTGGTGGGGGTTAGAGCAGCCTGATCTTGCACAAACAGAGCAGTTCTAAATAAACAAGCTAGAAGTAGGTACAGAATCAAAGACACAGTAACACAGACCTTCAGCCATTTTATCACAGTCGTGGCTTGGCTCTCTTACCATGAAGTCATCCAAAACTGATAGGACTGAAACAATTTTTTCTGCACTAACACTTTTTTCTTTCCTTTTCTGTTGTGCCTTGTGAATCTCTCTACTGGTCTGGTTCTTTTAGGACCACCATAATACAATTTTACTCTCCAGGTAAAAAATAATCCAGCTTGCAGAATTTTACTTTTGAGTGAAAACGTCAGTGGAGACGAATTCCAGACAGCACATTTTCAAGGAGATATTTTAGGAGTGTAAAATGTTCCACTTACCTAGAAGGTGTTTTCATAAATTTCTGATGGCCTGTTATTCTAAAAGAAGCACAAAAGTTATGCCCTTTAATATAGTAGTTTCGCAGGCTCTTAATCCACAACTTTGATTCTTCAAAAATGCAGAATTTTTTGTTACAGAGTTTCCAAAGTAAATACTACTGAATTTAAATGTTCAGACTCTCACTTCTATTTGAGTATGTTATTGATTGCATTGTTCTTCCTTTACTACTTCTTCTGTATCTTAATGTCATGATATTCAGACTCTAATTTAAGTATCTCATAGACCATGTTCTTGTATTTACTTTCATCATACATGTAAATTCTCCTTAATATTTAATTAGACCAGTCTCCAACTTTTATCTGAATTAGGCTGTCTGTTCTAATATAAACGCTTTATAGCTGGTACAGAGAAGTTTTATTTCCTTTAAAGATTTTAAGAAATGAGATTAAAAAATAAACAGCAATTTGAACTCACTGGCAAAATTGATTTGAATTTGTGCAGTTGATTTCAACTGTAAGAGGGAAAATTTTAAATGCTACATAAGTTGAAACACAATTTCTTTTAGAGCTTGACATCACCTGAGGCAAATATATTATAACGCTAGGTACAGTGATAGCATCCATATGAGAGTTGAAAGAATATTCAAAACAATTCAAATTGAAATAAGTACAACTGTGGAAAATATAAGTAATATGCAGACAACACCCCTGAGGACACAAAATGCCAAAATTTCATCAATTACATTCCAATTTCCAGTGTTTAAGCAGTATGTCAACGGCACTCAGCAAAATGGCTTCTCCAACAACAGTGCATGTATGTATGTACAGAGCTAATGCATGGAGATGGCCAGAACGGGGTCGGATGGGGGAAGATTGTTAGTGTGATGGGGTCATGAGGCTGTTCTTCCCTTGGCAATTATTCATAGAGAGATTTTGGAGGAGATGATGCCTGTAAGCCTAGTATGATTAGTTACAAATATTAAGGTATCCTTCTTCTGAAGTCTTACTATGTGTGTTCGATATGTATGAGCTATTTAAAAACTTCTTTTGTGGGTCAGCTTATTTGGAATCTATGTACTAAAAGCACCAAAATCAACAGGAATTATTTAACCACACTATTAATATTCAAACTTTATTTAAAAGTCTGCTTTCTGGAGAATAAAATAAATCTACAGTAAATAAATTCTAATTCTAACTTTTGTAGGGATCCACTATATCTCTTAATTTTTGCCATTATTTCAAGTTCAAAAGCTAACAGTTCAGGGTTCGTGTCTTGGTAACTTCATGTATAACAATCTGCAGTGAAGTCACTGGCTACATTTAAAATGGTTACATGATCTTTACCATGTGAATATTTCACTCCAAAATCTCAAATTTATCATATGGTATTTTATTCTGTGTTTTGGGATTCTGTGAGCACATCCTGCTTCCCAGTTTTAGTAACAGTAATATCCAAATATTGAAGACTCATCATTTGCTTTGGGAATTTTTAAAGAAGGTCTTAAGGTTTTGATTTATTGTTTTTTTCTTAACCTTTTCTTCCAAAGCTACCAAGTGCATTATTTGAAGAGACATTTGAAGGTATATCAAGGGAAAAAAAAAATCAAACCCACAAACCCTAGTTTAAACTCTTCCAACATTATGCTTTGATGAAAGATTCAGAGTTCTACACAATGTATTTTGTGAAAAGGCTTTAAATTGGGAGTTTAAATTATTATTGCATAATTATGCAAGCCACCCTTTATGTTGTCAGCATTACAAACCAGTGTTTAAACAAACATGGCAAAGTATTCAAAATTACCTTATGCATTCTGCCTGTAAGTTTTGCAAAACACTAACAATACGGTTTCTGAGAAAAAATCACTCCAATTGCCTTTAGAAAATCTGACAGTCCCATGCAAATCTGAAAAAATTACGCCCTATTTCTGATTTGAAGTTAAACAAGACTACTAAAATACAGTAGACCTAAATGTCCCAGCAAGATAATTACTTACAAGATAGAAATGGGAGTAAACGGGTATGATATACCAGACTGATGTCCTGACCTATTGATGCATTTGGCGTGCATTCATAAAATGGTTTGCATATTTCTTCTGCTTTGCACAAAAATTTATGGTTTATGTCTTTAAAACACAAGGTATGATATATAAACACTAGCACAAACCACACTTGCTAATCGGGGCTTCCAAACGGGATGCATGATGCTTGCTCTTAATGGACTATGGGGTCATAATTACGGTATCTCTGATTTAACAAGTGAAGCATTTTGGATTGTGCAGATTGTTATTACATTTAAATGGATACATCTATAGACACATCTACTGGTTGTTACTGTACTTTATAATTCTTCATGCTTTGTTTCAGACTTCTGAAAATCTACAGCCTATAAACAATTGAAAAATGATAGTAGAAGGAAAAGGGAAAAGGCTGTTGACCATTAGCAAATTGGTTTATAAACAAATAAATATTCAAAAAGGGCAAAAAAATCACTTGAATTTTATGTATGTGAAATTTGTTTGGAAAAGAATCTCTGGAATAGATTCAGTTTTGAAAGTGCTCTTAAAAAACATTTTTCATCTGAAATAAATCAGACCCAGTGCTCTCTGCAACCACAGATGAAAGCAGGGAATGATGCTACTGTGGAAATCAATAAATAGAATCCAGAGAGTAACACCACAATGATATGATATGAAAACCAAGTTTCTCTCAGTTTTTGCTTTATGTGAAGAACAAAGCACAGGGTGATAATGTCTTCCATTCCTGAAAACTTGCTTTTTAAATTTTTTATATATGTGCTCCAGTTTAATATCTAGGACATATTGACAGCAGAAAGAAAAGAAAATAATAGAAGTTAAACATATGGTGTCTGAATATTCTTCAAAAGTATTTATAAATTATTCATGTTAGTAACTTACTTTACGTACATGCTATACACAAACCCCTAAACTTTTAAAGACTATTTAAATGTACAGAATTCTGTAACTCGTATCCTTACCATTGTTTTTATTTTGTTCTTTTTTTTTTTATGAATTGGTCCTCATGAGCAGCTTACGGAAAAGGTAATGTACACTACTTTTAAAAAATCTACACATTGCTTTCTTGTAAATGAGATCTCAAATTGAAAATCAGTGTATCAATACTGCCTCCTAAATTAGCATTTTAAGCATGCGGATGAGAACAGTAATCTCTGAAAATGTTTGACATAAAACCTACAGTCAACTTTTAAAATGGTAAATTTAGCAAAAATATGCAAGATGGAAATAACAACACCTAGATATTTTTTAAAAACCCCTCACATTTAATGATCTGTATAATACTTTAAGACCTTCTTTAAATCCAAACAATCTTAAAGATTTTTTTCAACTTTAGACAGTGAATGAATACTATTCATTCTATTCATTCACAGTGAATGAATACTATTCATTACCAATTGAAGTATGTTTTCAGGGGCAAATAATTATATTATGCAATCCCTATGGATAAATACAGAAAATAGCACTCTGTTGAATAAAATGATTATCAGATGTAAACAAATAAAGATATAAAAACCTCCACAGAAATACTGTCTTAGTGGAATGTATAGCTTGCTGGCATCTAGGGTTTCATGAAGCTTATTGAAGTATTATTTTTAAGAAGGCAAGACTCAGTGCTCCTTCTTGGCAACTGCATTTGGTAAACATTAAGGAAGATCTCCAGCTGCAAGATTCTGTCACAATACAGTCTCCACTGGTTTAAATGGAATAATGTACTGTTACAGCAGTTACAGGCCTGTCCCAGTGTTATTATATGGCAACTGTTTTGAAATAAATGGGAATGCTGAAAGCAAACTAGCACATTTATCCCTCAGGAACAAGTTTTCAACATGTTCACTGCAGTTTTTACAGTCATGCAATTCCTGTAATGAATACCAACTATGGTGGTGGTTTTCCTCAGCAGCCGAAACAGTGACTGCACCGGCTAAGTGACCATTCACTTCCTCTGACTTACTTAAGTAGTCTAGAACTGAGGTGGCGAGGCTGTGCTGCGCTGCCAGAAGGTGGAGGAGAGAAACATACACACCTCCAGAAATCAGTCCTTTGAGACAGGTATCTAGATACTAGCAATTAATTGCTTGCTTGGAGATGGCTGACTGTTGACTATCAACACAGCTGGATTTTAGACTAGATACATAAACCTGGGTAAGACAAATTCCATCTTTTAAGCCTTAATATTTACATTCTAATTCTCTTTCAGAGGAACCTTTAATGATAATATGTTTTAGAGTATACTGTCTTTTAATATATTTTTTTTAATTGTTCATTGTGTCTGCTGTACAGCATGATATAAAACAGGCTTTATCTCCCAATAAAAGACTTTTTTATTTGTTTTTCTTTAAGGAGGAAGAAATTGTTGATTGGTGGAGCAAATTTTATGCTTCAGTAGGAGAACATGAAAAATGTGGACAGTATATTAAAAAAGGATATGACACTTTAAAGGTATTGATCAGGATAAAATAAATTAACATATCTCAATGTTTATAGGCCCAAAACCTGGTCAGAGCTGTGCCCCTTAAGAAGGTATCTGTACTTCTTTTCTACCTAACTACACTTATTAAGAGATGTATTAAAAGGTTAACCTAACCTTCAGTCAAATGGAATTTTACTCTTGATTTCTTTGGGTGCCAGGCAGATCCTAAATGAACATACACATTGAGAAAGTATGAACAGAGAAGATCAGTACTTTTTACTGTCTGTTGGTTAAAAGTTGAAGCCAGACTACTTTAATTTCTCGTTTAATACACCTAACAAAGAAAGTAAAGCTAAGCTTGTGAAATGCTATTTGCACTGTTTTTAACAAGGCCTAAACGAAGCTTGATAGCATGTTCTCCAAACATTGCATTTGATTCCACTTCGGTGTAAAAACAAAAATAGTTCCAAATGCTTTGGTTCCGTCAGATATTCCATCAAACGTACAATTCCCTTTGCAGTGCCACAGTGGTGGAGCTGATATGTCTGATAATTTCTAAACTGCACTTTTTTCCATTTTCCTTTTTTCAAGGTGTATGATTGCGAATTGGAAAAAGTACCTGAATTTAATAGCTTAACAGACTTCTGTGATACATTTAAACTATACAGAGGCAAATCTGAGGACAGTGATGATCCATCAGTGGTTGGAGAATTCAAGGTAAATTTCAATTAATGGGCAACAGCCAAATGCTACATGCAGTCTTTTGTATGTAAGTGGTTATCATTTAAGTAGGTCTACATGCAAGCATTTCAGCTTAAATATGGGTGCGTGAGTTTTAATAGGGCCATCATGCTCATAAATACTTCGGTACAGGCCCTTCTTTTTCAAGGAAGGTACAGCTGCTCTTTGCTCACACTAAATGTGATACATGCTAATTTAAAGGAAACACCA